TGGTGAAAAATTTTCAAAGAGGGTAAGAATGAATATTAAAGCATAGCTCAGACTATGCTTTTAATGAGTAATAATCCTTCACATAGACTTTAAAGTAAGACGCAGTCCCAAAATATGATACTGAATCTTGAAATAAGAATTGCGTGATTTAACATAACTACTTCATTTTTAGTCCTAAATTATGAGTCACGTCATCTCATACTTTAAGAAGTAGTAACTAATTTTAAATCATAATAATGGAGCAGAATCTTTTGTAATGTTAAGAACAGTTGTCGGTATACTTCATAGAACATTTGAAAGTGTTACTACTGCTTTAGGTTTAGTGAAACACAATTTCTAAATTAATAATATTTTTGAAGAAGCTTGTAATGTTATGTTGCCATGGTAGTTGAAACATTTTTTTGCTGAGTTTTTAATGTCTGAAGATATTTGAGGCAAAAATTTATGGAAAAAATTAAAACAATTTTAATTGAAGAATTAAAAAAAAAAAAATGCTTTACTGCAGCTTAATTTCATTTTCAAATTTAACAAAAAATCCAAACAATTGCCGAAAAAAACTTTGACAAAACATTTTGAAAATTATTATCAAATATTGCAGAAGAAAAAATTGAACTATTGCAAGTGTTAAATGAAAACAACTAATGTTTGCTTCTACATTTTTAGTAAGTATATTAACTTTTCAATAAATAGCATTATACTTACTTCTAATAACAAATGTACTTACTTTTTTAATTATTAAATTTTAAATTATGTATAAGAGAAATAAGAACATACTACAACATAGATCATACTACTTTTAAAGGTGAGGATAAATCTAACGGTGATATTTATATACATTTCCAATTTCTATTAAGAAAGAGAGAACTCTTTATGCCAAGTAAATTATTCATTGGGGGAGGAGAATGGAATTGAAGAATGCTCTTTATACTGTCACAGGATGAATATCAGTGTCCAAAAAGTTATAGAAAGGAGAGTTACATGCACACAGTGCTCTATTACTACACGAGCTTAGCAAGATCTGTCTAATATTGCACAAATTGTCATCTAAAGAATCATGGAATAACAAATAATTGTGGGATTCACGTGCGAAGCGCACACAAGGGTGAAGCACCACCAGTATTTATATTTTTTTTCCTATACTATATACTCACGACACCTTCCTCAGCTATTCTTGGCCACCCCTCTAAATAAGGTAAAATTCTATTGGTTTTTACCTTATTTTTATTGGGTAAACTTCGGTTAAGCCCCCCCCCCTATTCACCTTTCTCAGCCCCTCACATATTTTATAAATTACTAACTTTGCTTGTAAAATTCTAGGTAAAAATCTAGCTAATCAGGATAATACTTCAGGATTATTACCAATATTTAGGGCTAAATTAAAATTTTCGCTTATACTTAAAAAAATCTTTTTATTACTACAACAATCACATTAAAATTAAAAAAGTTTTCGTCAAAGTAATATACTGCTTACACTTCGCAAATTAAAAAGAGTACTCTAAAGTAACTTTAACAGCAATTAAGAAAAATTCTGTAAATGGTAATAGAAATATCTCATTTTTTAACAAAAATCTCGAAAATCTGATACGTTATTGATAAGCAGCGACTTAAAAAATCCATGGAACCATACCATACTTTTACAGTTAACATTTACAATTTTAAAAAATAGTCATTGGCAATCTTAGATCTGAAATCTTGAATCATTCTGAAGCAAAAATATAAGCGTGGAAACGATGGTAAAAATATTGTTGTTTGCTCACAGGGATTGAAAACATATTCCTGAAGAAATGTCAGCAAAATTATCTTTTAATGGTAAATAACGATGACGCATCCCTGCATTACGTCTTGATAATAATTACACTTAAATAGATGCAAAAAAGAAATTCTTTTAAGACATTTTCATTTGCGACCCAAACCTATACAATGTTGCTGCGTTAACGTTTGATTTGCTTCTAGTCTACAGGAATTAGACGATTTGTGATAGAGAATAATAATAACTATATACAGGCAACCATGCAGGCAAAAAGACGTATTTACCATTGAAAAATAAAATTCTGAATTGCCAACAGCATAGCATGAACAGAGAATTATTTAAAACTCGCTTTCAATTAGAAAAAATATAAAAATATGTGTTTTTTATTTAAATAACTCTAAGGCAGACAATGGAAGACTTTTTTCTTGCCAGTTTTTTAAACTTAATTAATTATTCATTCGAATAATCGCTAAAAAACTCTTAACATTTCCAAACATTCTAATATTTTTAAACTTTGAAAGAAAAATGTAAGGGTCTTGAAAATTTAAAGAAATATATATTTTATAACCTTTAACTAACAAAAACATTTTTGTAAAAAAATATTCATTACTTTTCAAAGTATCCTATTTGTTCAATTAAACACATCGCCACGAAAATGTTCTCTTTTTATTCTTGGTAATTTTCTACGAATTTACAAAAAAAAAGTTGCTCTAAGAAATTCACAGTTTAAAATGACTTTTTTTATTGTTTCATGTGCTAAATGCTTATTTATGAACAATTATGGCTAAAATTTTATGTCCATCTTCTAGACAACTGAAACTTGCCAAATTCTTTGAGTCTTACTCGTCGAGGATCGTCAACATGGACGAGATGCTAAGTTAACGAAATACTAATTAAGTACTAAGAATATTATAGTTTTTTTTTCTAGGGGCAGATTCGTCTTTGATCAAATAAGTTCAAAATGGGATAACGTGAAAAAAATGGCACGTCTCTGGTACTTTCCATAGAGTTTTATTCTGATTTTTTTTTTCAATTTATATGTAGTGTAGGAAAATAGATGCTGCCTTCAATCTTAAGTCATTGGGCCGCTTCTGGTGTAAAAACGCTCCGCTCTCTTTACTTTGCGATAAACACTGTCAAATAAAACAAGGTCTTACAGATTTTTAGCAGTACCTAGCTAAAGGTCTTACAGATTTTTAGCAGTACCTAGCTAATGTCTTTGATAAGATCAACTCTTGTGTTAAAGTCAAAGTTTTGCCCGCGGAGATCGTTATTAACGTGTTTCTTTGGGAAACCCACTGTCAAATAACACATTAAGCAATGTCCAGCTGTAATGTTTGNTAAAGAACGACATAATATTATAATGTAATAGTGGAAGTGTAGGGTAAAAGAAAGTAATACATACATTTTTATAGTTTTTCTTTTCGAGCAAAGTAGAAAAAAAGTTTAACACATGTTTTAATGTTAGCATCGTAACGTCAAATTGAACAGATATAGAACAAATTACTTTAATCAAATTTTTTTTATGTGTTCAACATAGTGTATTATCATTAGTTGTATCTAATTCCAATTCAATACTTAGCGTTATAAATATCTCAATACATTCAGTTATTGAATCGATACATGGATTCGGGCAACTGTTAGAATCATCATCATTACACATAAAATCCGCGGCTGTTATCAACGACTCACTGTTTTTAGAAGTTTCTCCGGTACAGTTACCACACAGCTCCAAGCACGTTAAGCCGTATTTTCGACAACCACAAGGATTTTTACCGCACCCCCTTTACACAAACACGTAATTTTCTGTGAATCAATATCAAGATACAGAAGCTCGACGGTGAGAATGGGCATTAGTTTAGTCGAGCTATCTTGCCAGCCAAATTTCAGTTGATCTAACGTTATATTTTTTAATAATTCAACATTCATTATTAATGTTTGTAACACTTGAACTGCAACATTACACTACAATATAATGCAATGAACGAAAAAAAAATTCAATTTGTTTATAACAATTATTTGTTTATTATGTTAACGTTGTGACTTGAACAGTCATCATTATTTTTCTAGGCTACTCAGAAGTTAGAAAAAAAATCACAATAAAATTTGATAAAAATACCTGAGATATGCCTTTTTTTTCAAGTTATACCATTCTAAATTCATATGATCGAAAACGAATCTACTTCTAGAAGAAAAAACTGTAATATTCTTAGCAATTAGTACTTCGTTATAATAGTATTTTGTCTATGTAGACAATCCTTTCACGTAAAACTCAATGAATTTGCAAAGTTTAAGTTATCAATAAGATGTATAAAAAATTTCAGCCATCATTGTTCATCAAGAAATATTTGGCGAATTCAACTATAAAAAAATCATCTCAGCTTGTGAATGTCTTAAAGCAACTTTTTTTTTCGTAAATTCTAAAAAAATTACCTGGAATTGAAATTGAAATTGTTTCGTGACAACAAGTTTATTTGTTCTTAAATAACTGTCAAAAAATACAGTCCGACAAAGTTGTAATGTTTTTGACGCCATTTTTAAAGTTGAATAGAATACTAGTCGATACGGAAATGTCATATTTATAAATTGGAGATTTTGGCGTAAAAACACCTCAGGATAAATAATGTTTTGACAACGGTAATAAGCCAGTTTTTAATTATTCATCAAAGACCTTATCTGTAAACGAACAAAATATGTCAAAAAGTAATGAATATTTTTCAACAAAATTTTTTTTGTAAGTTAGAGGTAAAAATTTTACATATTCCAATTATTTTCAAAGGCTCTAACATTTTTACATTTAAAGTTAAAAAATATTGAAATTTTTGAAAATTTCGACATTTTTTGCAATTATTTCAATAAATAATTATTGAAATTCAATCAATCAGGACTCAAATTAACTGGCTCTTGATTACCTTTGAATTAGCATGAGTAAGAAAAATCTACTATTACCTGCGTCAGAGTGATTTTGAAAAAATCTAATTTTCTACATCAAAAAAATGAAAAAGTTAACGGGCAAAAATGTAGTGTATGCATGTGTAGCACAATGGTTCGGTTATTAACATAGCGCGCGTAATAAATTCTATTCCCGGTTCTTCTCACAAATAAAGTCAGTCACTCTGTACTTACTCAACACTGTACATGTCATGAGATCATTGTACTTAGCTTATACGATATACATACAATATATGATAAAAAAACTGTGTGTCAAAACTAACGGGATTTGCATAGAAGAATGTTAAAAATTATTCACCTTCATATGAGTTCTTTGTCCTTAATTGTTCACGATTTCTAAAAACTTTTTGGTTCGATGATAATATATAACTTACTTCATTTTCTAGCTTAGTTATCTGTAGCGAAAAATCCACCTGAAAATGTATAATAAATGAGTTTTTTTTCTTAATGTGACTAGATATATTTTGTTACTTTCGTATTGCTATTATTAAAAATAATTATAAGGTAAAAATACGTCATTGTGAATTTACAATAACCAGTTGACTTTAGTACTAACGTTTAAAAGAAAATCTCTGTTTAGTGATCCCATATCTTTACAAGAAAAAGGCTTTACGGTGTTGATACTTACATTGAAAGGAAAAAATAAGCAGTTTTCTATGGAACAATCTAATATGTTAAGATATGTGACCAAAATCCATTAGGTTGTAGAAAGTATTCATGAAATCATTGGCCAAAAATACAAACTCTTGCACCACCAGTTTCGAAATCAAGCTCTACCTGATGCTGAGATTTATTGTAAGGCCGCATTTTACATTTATAATTTGACGGGAAAACAACTTAATTCAGATGATGGTTATTTGGAACAAATTATTGAAAGAGTGGAGATTCATGAAAATGTAGAAAATTACTTGGCCAAAAGAGTCTTGGATAAAAATTTTAACTAGAAATCAGTACCGTTTCAAAAAGTATTATTGAATGATTTACTAGGTTTTTCAGAATTAGCATTACAGGAACTGACACTTTTTTTTATCGCCTCTAACCAACTACAACAGTTTATCTCATATCTAGGGGAAATGCTGGAAAGTAAAAATAATCTTACAGTAAGTTTAAAAAAAAAAAAAAAAAAAAAATGATGGGATTTGAAGTAAGATCAAGGTACATTAACAGCAAAATATATAATCATTATGTTCACTTCGTTCCTAATGGTAAAAGGATAAATGCTACTAAAGAGTATTGTGGTAACTGTGCTATTGGTCTATAGACAATTGGCAGTTATTCCCATGTTGCAGCGCTATTGTATCATTTATCTCACGGTGGATTTTTATTTCACGTAGTTCGACCTACAGATGTGCTTACAAACCTTTTTGACATGGACAGTGTACGTCCTGTAATCTATCAAGACAGTGAAGAAGATTAAATACGTAAAAATAAAACAAGAACATATACAGTTTACTCATAAATTACTTATGTAAAATTTTGTTACAAATTATGTAATTGACAACCTGCACTTATTTATTGCAGCTCTAACAAAAGTAAGCTAAGTAGAAAGTATCTAAAGTTGAATCCTATCCAAATAGAAAATATCCTGGCCTTTTACAATGCTTTGTAAATATAAGTTTTAAAAATACAGAAACTTGAAAATTGTGCCGTTCCTAATGTGAAACTAATGACAAAGAAGATGAAAGTTTGAAGACTAGTTATGTAGCTGTTGACGAAAATTCTCTGTAGAAAATATTAACGTGCTGTTTATGGGATCTCAATGGTGGTGTGAAAGTCCATGAAATATATAAATTTTTATATTTAATATAACAACCAAAATAAAATTCAAGAAGATTTAAAAACACTTTTTTTTCATGCCAAAAATGGCCGATTTAAGGATTTCTCGCATCCACCTCTGAGAAAAATATGAAAAATACGTAAACAATGTATTTAATTTTTTTACAAGATAGTGAAATGATGCTGAACATTCCAACAACGCAACATGCTCAAAATCGCGTTTATAAGTCATAATTAGTTTTCGAAGGTCAAGATGACCTTGGATAATGTTTTAAAAAATTTCAGGTAAGGGTAATTATATTCTTAACAGTCTTAAATTTTTTCAGATTTTTTCACTTATTAAAAGCCGAGATGAAAAATAAATGCCAAAATAAGGTTTTTGGGTCTAAATAATTTTTTGGGTCCTCGGACTATTTTTAAAATTTTTTTATTCCCTCAACAAAGCTCTTAGCAAGATTTGACAAGAAAAAAAAAGAAGAAAAAAAGAGGGTATTCGACCTTTATTAACCGACGATAACCTTTGGAAAAATCACATGTTAGACTTATAAAAATGTTATTTCTTACCTTTTTTCTTTATATAACAATAAGTATTACAAAACCAAGTATCATCTATTCTTGTGAAGTTTGAAATTGTTGTCCACTCTTTGATTGGTATTTAAGAGTTTTAAATTAATTAATTATTGTAATTAACGAGAGTTAGCACTTAATTGGTAAAGTAGAAAATTAATTTTTAAAGTACGAGAAGAAAATGACAATTTTAAAGTTAGTATTAAAAACAGTATTAAGAAACAATAAGGCAGTTGTTCCATAGATATCTCAACTAATTTAACTTTGCTGCGTATTTAACAGACCTAAATATATTTTACATGAATATATACAAAAAATTATTTATTTACTAAAAACTGTCTTTTTATTATAAGTATTTTACACTACTTGAACTATGTACGTATCCACTAGAACTCAACTTGTTAAAATTTTAAGTTAGTGTCTTCAACAATACTTCGTATTCTTTGAAAAGATAGTAATTTTGAATTCAACAAAACAAATTAATTTTCTTACCATGGACGCAGTCTTTGCACACTGCGGGTTAACTTTGCCTACTCAGAAAGAAAAACTCCTTTTTTTTTTTTTTAATTGTAATTATTAGAGCTTTTAAGACTTTTGGCCCTTTAAACATAGATATGAAAATGTAAATGTATAAGATTTGTTCTACTTTATTCCTTAGTAGCACTTTTTTTGAGGGTTTATACAAATTATAAGTGTCAAAACTAAAAAAACCAAATTTTAGTAATGAAAATTAAACTGTACAAAGTTATATTCAAGATCTATTTCATTGTTATGGTGTGACTAAATGATACGTAGATTTATTCTACAAACAAATAAATTTAAATTTTGTTTATCTGGAACCAGCCATCACTCCAACTTACAATACGCTTTTCTTTTCAATCCGTTCACTAGGTGTTCTGGTATTAAGTTTCACCAAGTGACATATACGGAGTGGTATTAGTGTGATGTATGGTGAACTGACGTCCGACATTCTGTTTGAAATTCGGTCAGATGTTATCGCAATTTTGGTCTGAATTCAATTAATTAATTAAAGCTAAGGATTTGTTTTGATCAACTGAAAACTTTAATTTCAAAAATTTTTGAATTAAGATAAGAAATCTAATCAATAACAAAGTCATGTCCAATCTGATTTAATAAATTAAATAATGCAAGTAATATTTGAATTTTACAAAAATGCTAATTGTGAATTTTCGGACTCATGTTTTAAATATTTTGAACAAGTTCGATTTTTTTTTAACTTAGCTTACTTTTCTACAATTACTGATTAACCACTGCTTTTGCGCATGCAGTCACAAGATCTTCTGCGGTTGACCACAACGATATTCATACCTCTGCACTAGGGTACTTGTGGCAACAATGATAGTTAGGCTGCTGCTTTCAACGTCGGAATCCAAATCGACGGTTTTTCCTTTTTCGTTTCTTTATTGTTCAAGTTTTCAGACAACTCTCCGGTGCTCCATGTTGCTTGAGCTTTTCTAACGCAGCTTAGACGCTGAACCAAGTCCTATATTCACTTGAAATGCACGGAAAATTGTTGTTACGAGAATAAGCTATACCAAAAGTGATGAGCATAGAAAAATAACGTACAGGTCCTTAGATTTCTGCAACCATCTCATATTTTTACATACTTTTCTGCATCACCGAAAAACCTGTGACGAGTCGGTTTTATAACTATACTAGTACAAGTTTTTCAATAGCGTTGGTACAGAATGTTCCTGTACCATGGATAGTCTCACTCAATTAATATACTGTGCACAGCTTTCTACTGTACCACGCATAGTACACGCGCTGTTATAGTGGAGACATGTATATGTATGCATGCATGTATTGAATTGTCACTGTGTCATTTTATTGACATGTTGCGTAAAATGTTTGGCTCAATAATTATTATTTGCGAGGAAAAAATAATTATGCAACACGAAAGTGACTACAAGTGCTTACTGCACTAATCACTACATTTTATCTAGTTATACTTGTATTTATATATTTTATCATGTATTGCGGTGGACGCTGAAATCCTAACCCTTTGAATTGTTGGCCTATCACTGCCAACAGGATGGATGAATTTTTTTTTATTTTTTTTATTTTTTTGTTTTTTTTTTTATGTGAAATATCGAAACTTGGAGAATGTTGGTTATTTCTCATTTTTGCAGGTTATTCTTTAATAAAGCTAATTTAAATTGACCGATACACGTTAAGGTTAAATTTCTAAAAATGTCATAGTGGTTTTTAAATTTCAATGTCAAAACTATTTAGTACATAATATTTTTGCCTTTTCATAATAATTCCCTTATATACATTTATAATAAGTAGTGCATTAGGTTTATTGACTTTTTCCATCAAAATACACGGCGAATAAATTTGACTTCGTATGCATGTGTATTAACATTATAATAAATACACACACACGCACGCGCGCACGAGACAATATACGTACATTATGTGCATGCATATATATCCTTACATGTTGGTGAATATTCGTTACAAGTAGGTATAGCTACAGACATTCTGAATGCTTCCACTGGCCAACTACGTTTCTGTACTGGTACAGAAAAAATCCATACCACGCATCAGATTTTCACGCACTAAGCATAAGGAATAGTTACACTCAATAAGGTAGTTTAAAGTACACTGCCACTACAAATATACCTGTACTAGTACATATTTTTCTTGTAAGAAGTATCTAAAATACTTGTACGAACATATAGAACCTGTTTTTTTGGTAACAACAATTTTCCGTGTGCACGGTTTCACATGCAGCTTCATTGCCGACTTGTGTCTTACACTCGTTTCAAAAATGCAACTGAACTTACTTTCAAACCTTTACAGTTATTTTAGAGCACTTGATGAAAGAGAAAAGACCTTCATTAGTATAAGTACAGTTTTTATATTCAGGCATTTAGGCAAGACACGTCAGGTTGAGGATTTGAACAACCCATTACAGCTTTACTTAATTTTTCTCGATTCACACACGAACAATTGTGTTGTAATAAGTATACAACGATTGATGGTTAAAATTGCTGAGCGCCCACTTTTTATAATTTTTAGACTGTAACTGGGTATTTCAAAG